ATCTGTCACTGGACTCCCCATTTACATTAATTTGACAACAGGTTTCCATGATGCCAGCTTTAGCAATGACTTATTAAATCATATGGACAAACTCTAGACAGAGTAAGAATATTCTTACCTGTACCCATTTTTGGACATGGTTAGTTATATGTTGCTTTCTCTCGAGTTCGAAGAGCATGTGACGTTACAGTTAAAGTTATAAATATTTCATCTCAGGGAAATTAGTCAAGCACTCTGAAAGTATTTTCATTCTTAATGTGGTATACAGGGAGATCTACACTAATAAAAGAGAGATGCAAATTGACCATACCATCACGACTCACACAAGCCAATCAGGAGTGAGTATACAAATTAACAAAACAAAATGGCAGGTTAATTTGCATACACTGGCATGAGCAAAGACTGAAGGCTCTGCCCAAGAGAAGATTGAAGACTGAAGGCTGAAGACTTGGCTCCACTGCAGCCCAGGTCCCAGGTGCCAGAGGAAAACCCATGATGCCAGTCAGGGGAAGAAAGGCCTACTGCATGAATCTTCTTGCAAGGAGCTCTAGTATTAGAATAAGATTAATCACTTTATCAATCATTATTTACATCACTTTTGTTTTATATCATGTTTTTGTTGTTATATCATTTTGTTATTATTTATTAATTTATAAAATTATGTATTATTTTCATATACATTTTACTCATTTCCTTTCATCTCTCACATTTCTATTATAGAGAAAGTGCAAATAGCAATTTTAAAATATTTCCTCTAATTAATTCCCTTTCAAGGTGCATGAATTTTGTGCACCAGGCCACTAGTATACATATATACCTATTGACACAGCAGATTCAACTAGTGGTATACACCCTTGAGAAATACAGGCACATGTATAATAGCAGGGATGTGCAAAAACAGTCATAACCGCATGAATTTTAATAGTCAAGGAGTAAGATAAATTTAAGTTTTTGCGAACACTAAAAGGACATGTTTAATATTCATAAAATTAATAATAAGAACAAAGAAAACAATTGGGTTATATCTACTTTAAGGAAACTGATAAACATGACAAGTACAATATTGGGTGAAAGACTAATTTACTAAATGATATAAACCACATGATTGTAAATTGTATAAAGGTAGTAAGCAGTCAAAAAAACACATTGCATAAAGATGCAAAAAGCAGGATGTAATTCTATGATGAACAGCAAAGTAATGATATAATTACCATCAAATTCTATATGATGGTTTTAGGGAAAGAGGCATGTTATTGAGAGAGGACACACAAAGAACTTCTTTGGTATCAGTATAATTTGTTTTGGCCTAAGTGTAAATTATTCAGGTTCTTATAATTCATTACACTCTCCATCCATATTTCATATACTTCCTTCATATGTATTATCGATCATAAGGAAATGATGAGAATGAAAAATATTTATTGCTAAACAATCATAGGCAGAGTACTTCCTTTCAAGATTACTGTTGTCCTAAAATATAGTGTTAGGAAATAATTTTAGAAGGAATCTTTGACATATATAAAAAACTAAAAGCGAAACAAAGATAGCAGCATAGGTAAACACCTAAATTGATGCCTCGCACAACAATTTCAAAACTACAACTAAAAGACATCATCCAGACCCACAGGAAGGCTGGCTGAGTGGAAGTTCTACAACTATTGATAGAAGGAAAGACAAAAGCACACTAAGACTCAAGAGCTACAGGAGGCAGAGGTACTGAGATGCACACATGTGCACATAGAGGACTGGCAAGTGAGTGTGCAGGTGGCTTTCTCAAGTGGGATGGAGACAAAAGCTCCTCACTGGTCTAGGTGAGATTATGGGGACCCAGACTCACAAGATGAAATTGGACTGTTAGGAAAGAGAAAAGTACCCTGAGACTCAGAGGTACTGCGGAAGGCATAGATACCAAGGTGCACATGTGGAGAGGGTGAGCAACTGATTATGCAGCTGGCTTTCCCAAGCAGGAGGAAGACGAAAGCTCCCAACTGCACTGAATTCCATTTCCAGGGGAGAGTCTGGAGAGCCAGACTCATTCAGGGAGAAAGTGGACTGTTTGGAAGCAGATGGAAACTCAAGGGCGGCTTTCTCTCAGAGGTGCTTGCAGTGATTACCACGGGACATTGAGACACAGGGGCCTATTAGGACAGGGCTGACAGGAAACCAATACTGTCTGCTCCACCGTGATATTCCGCCCTATTCAAGATGAGCACAGAGGCTTTTGCAAGTCTTCTCCCATGAGGGTGTCTCCAGCAGAGAAGTTCTCCCAGCATAGACACAGCTGATTCTCACAGTCAATTGGCCTGGAGGCCAATTCTTCCCAGTTATACCAACAATCAAGGTTTAACTACAACAAGACTGTGCACCAGCCCACAAAGGAGTGTACCAAGAGTATCCACCTCAGGTAACTGGAGAAGCTGGACCACTGGGCCCCCTATAGGACACCTAGCATTCAAAGCCACTCTATCAACTAAGGGAAGCAGCCAAAATGTGGAGACAAAGAAACAGATCACAAATGAAAGAAATGGAGAAAAGCAAACAGATGGATATAGAGTTTTCCAAGAATTTTCTATAAAATGCTGATCAATTTAGCAAGACCCACAAGGATATGAAAAAGAACCAACTAGGAATTAAACATACAATGACTGACATAAAGAACAATGTACAGAAATCCAACAGTAGACTAGAGGATCCCAAGAATCAAGTCAAAGATTTGAAATACAAAGAAGAAAAATACTCAACTGGAAAAGCAATAAGAAAAAAGAATCCAAATATATGAAGACAGTATAAGGAGCCTCTGGGACAACTTCAAGTGTACCATCAGAATTATGGGGGTGCCAGGAGAAGAAAGAAAGCGAGATACTGAAAACGTATTTGAAGAAATAATGGCAAAAAACTTCCGCTACCTGGTGAAAGAAATAGACTTACAAGTCCAGGAACCACAGAGAACCCCAAACAAGAGGAATCCAAAGAGGACCACACCAAGACACATCATAATTAAAATGCCAAGAGCAAAAGACAAATAGAGAATATTAAAAGCAGCAAGAGAAAAACAGTTAATTACCTACAAGTTAATTATGACTGTCAGTGGATTTCTCAACAGAAACTATACAGGCCAGTAGGAAGTGGTAAGAAATATTCAAAGTGATGAATAGCAAGTATCTACAACCAAGATTACTCAACCAGCAAAACTATCATTTAGAATTGAAGGATAGATAAAGAGCTTCACAGATAAGAAAAAGCTAAAGGAGTTCACCACCACCAAACCAGAATTATATGAAATACTGAAAGTATTCTTTAAAAAGAGGAAGAAGAAGAGAAAGGTAAAGATAAAAATTATGGACAACAAATACATATCTATCAACAAGTGAATCTAAAAATCAAGTGAATAAAAAAATCTGATGAACAGAAAAAACTGGTGAATATAATAGAATCAGGGGCATAGAAAGGGAGTGAACTGACAATTCTCAGGGGGAAAGGGATATGGGGGTGTGGGAAGAGACTGGACAAAAATCGTACACCTATGGATGAGAACAGTGGGGGGGGGTAAGGGCAGAAGGTGGGGTGGGAACCAGTTGGAGGGGAGCTTTTGGGGGGAAAAGAGGAACAATTGTAATAATCTGAACAATAAAGACTTATTAAATTAAAAAAATAATAAATAAATAAATAAAGGAACAGTAGGTAAAATAAAGCAACCATGTTTCAATGTACTTTTTACTATAAAGTATAAGGTAACAGAAATGAAATATTAACAAACATTGTATATAAACTAGTTGAGTAATAAACACTGTTATTTTGGAATAGGTATACCAGATACGGTTAAACGTTAAATAAGCATGGTAAAAATGAAAATATAATAAAAATACTAATCACAACAATGTTTAAGGTAATAATCTTATAAATCAAATACAGATTAAATAATAAATAAAAAATGTAGATATTGAAGGTAATAGTATAGAAAAACCAAATGATAATAGAGAAATATTGGGGACATGCTAAATGAAACGAATATAGTGTGTGCATATTGATAGAGACAGAGACAGAGACAGAGACAGTGATGGAGATAGAGGTACATATGTCAGACTTTAAAACAGAAAGCAGCTTTAGAGATAAGATGATTCACTATGTGACAGTACAAATATCTAGGAATGTATAACTATTGTAAAAAATTTATACCATATAAAACAGCTTCAAAATATAAAGAATGAATTAAGTAAATTCTAGTGAGAAGTAGGCAAATATAACTGTATCATTGGAGATATCAATATAATTCCTCAAGTGCTGAGAAGTCAGACAATAAAAATTAATAAAAATACAGAGATTTTGAGTATTTTCTTACATTTGTAATGCAAACAATTTATACAGAATTTTTCACTAATAATTAGAGCCTTCATATTTTCTAGAAAATCTATATCATTCACAACATCACAATGGCTAAGTACATGAAGACAGTCACAACAAAATTCATTGATTAATTATCTTACCAAGCATAATTGAAAAAAGATAGCAAGAAATAAATATAACAATAATTAATAATGCATTATGATTTATTCAATTCTGTTCAATGAAGTTAAAATAAATGAAGTTCCCCAGATGCAAATACTGAAATTAAGCGATGAGGAGGTAAACAACACAAATTGTATAACTTTGGGAACCAGTACTCACTTGGGAAGAATTCAGGAGATGATTTAGGAGACTATGTTATTGTGAGTGCTAGTTTTATGAAACATAAAGGTGAGTGTTGCTACTAATGGTTGCACAACAAACAAAATTGTATTTAATCCATGCTGCATTCACTCCATACTAAAATTCTTCAAATGTTTCAAATTCAGGAAGAGTCCATACTCACATGCCTAATATCTCCATGTCTTAGATAGTTGATGAAATGGTGCAACATTTGACAAAAAGTCCTTCCCTTGTGTATCACATCTCTATTTATAGCACTATCTGATAAGCAGAAAAACAAAGCTTTAGCTATGCCATTAATGATTGACACTAACCTCTTCAATGCCACAATCACATTGCTCTCCCGATTCCACAATTCCATTGCCACATAGTTCTTGTCTTCCTTGGACCACCACTTTTGAATTGGTTTGATTCTGAAGACATTCCAATTCAGGCTGTGAAACTATATGTTTAAATTCATCCACGCTGCAACGGCTAAACAACTTTACACCATGGGAACGTCTAAAATTAAATTGCATTCTTCAGATAAATAGAGTAAAATCACTATCAAAGTAACACTGTTCAACATTGCACTATTAATTCTGCACAACTCCAGTCAGAGAAAAACAAGAAAGAGGGGAGAGTGCTTTGATTTTTTAATACAAGTCATAGAAAATTAAGCAATGAGTTCATTTATATTATAATTTAACATAATGGAATTCTAGTAGAATGCAAATAGAGAAAGTTAAAGTGACATGAGTTATATTAAAATACAAGTGATTGACACACAAAAGTTCTATTTAAGTAGATGAGTCAATGATGTCTGAGCTCTCAGGTCTGTGAGTTTTTTAGAGATCCCATACTATTAATTCACTTTAATTCTGTACTGATTAAAGTATTACATATAGGTCTTTATTCACCCATTGCAACCCACCTCTGCACTCATGCCCTCACCCCCTAGTGTCTGTGTCCATGGGTTAGGCTTATATGCATGCATACAAGTTTTTTGGTAGATCTCTCTCCCTCCCACTCACCCTCTCCTACCTTTTTTCTGAGGTTTGAGGGTCTGATCAATGCTTCTCTGTCTCTGGAACTATTTTTGTTAATCAGTTTATGTTGTTCATTTTATTCCACAAATGAGTGACATCCCTTTGTTAATTTTATTTCCTCCTGCAAGTACTTCATGAGGTTCTTATTTTGTTAGTGAAATGAACCCACCTGTTTGTATCTTTGGTGTGTTCCAGTTTGGAAAATGCAGAATATGCTTTTGCTTTTATGCTTGTTTCCCTCTTTATTTTGTCAGAGACTTGGGGGAATTAAATTTCCATGCAACTTTCTTCTCCCTCCCGTTTCTTAAAACATAGTCTTAAAAAAAATACTATGTCCTAGGTATGGAGCCATCCTCTCTAATTCTAATATTGTCTTCCTTTCAATGACAAGCCCACAAAGCTACAACTTTTGGCACTTCTTTAACTAGTTTCCACTTCTTTCTAAATGATCTGTCCAGGGTTTTAATTCCCATCAATTTGCAGATGGCTTACACATTCTAGATCCCTTGTCTTCAGAGACCCAGATCTATATACTATGCACTTAACTCTAATAAATAACTCAGCGCCCCCAATATAGCATTTAAAACTGCCTCAGAATTTCCCAATTTTTCCTTTCCTAAAACATTTGCCTTTTTCAATATCTGTTCTGATAGCCAAACAGGTACAAATAATTCTTCCCATTTCCATTTCTCTCAATCTTAATAAATTGCTGTATGATAATCATCTCACCAATGTTGTTAAAATATTTCCCTCTAATGTATTATTCATTCATTTTAAGATAACTTTTATTAGCCATACTGTATAAATCAATTTAAAATGCGGTTCGCTACACTGATCATAAAATCTTACCTCTCTTTCCTACATACCCTATGTTAGCTACTCCGGGACTTCTTCCCCTGACTCAGTGTTCTTTAGCCTCCTTGCATTTCACTTTATTTTCCTTGTACATATTTCCTTATAGTATAACCTATGTCTCTTGGTTTTCATTTTTATCTCATTACCCCCTCAATTTCCTCATAAAAGTCTTCTGAGTTTCTCAAGCTTGTTGCCATCCAATTATCACTCACCTGCCCTCCCTGAATGGTATTCAATACGTTCTTTAGGTAAATAGATTCATTCCTTCTCTTCAGGCCCCTACAGAATTATTTCCTCGGACACATTACTAGTATTAGAAAGTCTCCTCTCCCCATGTATTCCCTATTTACCTCCTTCTGGGCATCTGTTGCAATATGTTTATATTTTGTTGATTCTATGGCCACTTTTTTCTTTCCTGTCCCTAATGCACTAATATAAGATATTTAGGACTTTACTTACCTGGTTAACCATTGGTAAGGCAAGCACACAACCCTGCAACACAGTCACTGCTCATTACATTTTCAAGATGAATAAATAAATTTCACTTCAAGATGATAGCAAGCCCTAGAAAGTCACTAACAACAAATTCTTTCTCTGTGGACTGTCACATTGAATATAGAAATAGTAAGCACATTTTCTACAATATTGCATCCTAGTTGTATTTAATAATCTTTAAATAACAACATATCTATTTTATTAAAATCTTCTTACCCATAAGTTATATTGCAAGCAATTATACATCAAAGACTACTACAAACATTTCACCAAAAACTACACAAGAGTTTATAGAAACAACACCTTACATGGCTTGAGGATTCATAATGCATGCAGTTCCTGGACAGTAACAATTATAGATGTCATCATATTTTAATCCCAGATTAACTCCAATCAGCTGTGCCATAACAACTGAAAATGCCTCTAAAGATATCCTCTTTAGATACTAAATACAAAAACAAAACAATAACACAATATTGCTCAAGTTATTTCTCTATCCTTTTGATCATTTCAATTAATATCTTGTGGGCATACTACCTAAATGCAAACACAAATTTAAGAATATACCATGAAAAATAATTGGTAAATTGTGCTATGTTTTATTTTTTTAAGAAATGGTATTTTTAGTCCAAATGGCATTGACAAGAAACAGACAAAATTAATGCTCTTTTTGTGTTTTTGTTACCTTATTTCTTGAAATGCAAACAATTTAAAATTTTTTGAGAATAAACATTGTTTTAGTCACTATATTATTTTTCCAGTGAATGTTTGGAAAAATACAGAAATTCTTAAAAGTTAAATTGGAAATCAATTTTGTTTTTATCAATAGTTTAAGGAAAGATGGTTTGTTGCTTTCTTATCATTTTTTCATCATAGTTTTTTCTTGTTAGCACTATTATATAAATATATATGGAATATCCTGTGCAATAAGAACAGAATATATTGGGTCTAGTCATAATTAATGTCATTTTTTAACATTCGTTTAAAATCTTGCTTGGCGTTGACTTGTATTGACATAACCTTCAAACACGTGGTATCTACAGAACGTGTGAAGTGCAATTAACAAGTTTTGCTTGAAAAAGTTTGTGTTTGGTTTGGTTTTTGTTGCAAAACTAGGGCTAAGAAGATGGCGGATGAAGAGCATATTAGGCACTGCATGCTTTACGAGTTCCAATTAGGAAGTAAAGCAAGTGAGGCTGCAAAAAACATCTGTAGTGCTCTTGGTCAAGATGCAGTTAGCGCCAAAAAATGCCAGCGTTGGTTTGAGAAATTTCGCGAGGGAAATTTTTCGTTAGATGACAAGAGTGGTCGAGGCCATGTGTCCAATTTTGATAAAGAAGCTCTTCAAGCTCTTTTGGTGCAAAATCCTCAAATTACCCAACAAGAGCTTGCGACAACTTTAAATTGTTCACAAAAAACAATTTCCAATCAATTGCGTGCACTTGGCAAAGTCCAAAAGTTTGGAAAATGGGTTCCTCATGAGTTGACCAACAACAACCTTAATCAAAGAGTCACAATTTGCAGTTTGCTCCTCACTCGTCAAAACCGTTTGCCGTTTTTAGAGCAAATTGTTACCGGAGATGAAGAATGGGTACTGTATGTTAATTTGAAAAGGCGGCCTCAATGGCTGGACAAAAATGAGGCTCCTCAGCCCACGCCAAAACCTGACTTGCATGTGAAAAAAGTGATGTTCTGTGTTTGGTGGAATTTTAAAGGAATTCTTCATTATGAACTTTTACCATCTAACCAAACCATTACAAGTGCAGTGTATAGTGCCCAATTGGAAAGGTTAGCCCAAGCTTTAAGAGAAAAAGAACCCGCGCTGATTAATCGGAAGGGCGTAATTCTTCACCATGGTAACGCACGACCGCATACTGCAAGAATCACTGCTGAAAAACTGCGCCAGTTAGAATGGGAAGTTCTCGCTCAACCTGCATATTCTCCTGATATTGCCCCTTCCGATTACCATTTGTTTCGTTCTTTGCAAAACTTTCTTCTTGGAAAAAAATTTAATAATGAAGAATGCCTCAAAAATGCATTGACCGAGTTTTTTGCATCATAATGACAAGAATTTTACAACAGAGGGATTAAAATGCTTCCTGAGCGTTGGGCACAAGTAGTAGAAAACAATGGCAACTATACTGTTGATTAAATTTTGTTGTATTGTTTAAATAAATTCGATTTAAAAAAGTATTAGAAAACGACATTGATTATTAGTAGACCTAATGCCACATTCTCTTCAAGACTACATAAACATTATCAAGTATAGACCACCTGTTAGGCTATAAAACAAGTCTCACAGCTTTGAAAATATTGAAATCATGCAAAGTATCTTTTCTAATGCCAATGGAATGAAACTACTAATTAATGAGAGAAGACAAATTTGAAAATTCACATGACTGTGAGATTTTAACAATACTCTTAATTTTTTAAAAATATATTTTATTGATTTTTTACAGAGAGGAAGGGAGAGAGATAGAGAGCTAGAAACGTCAATGAGAGAGAAACATCCACCAGCTGCCTCCTGCACCCCCCCCCCCTCCACCAGGGATGTGCCCGCAGCCAATATACTTGCCCTTGACTGGAATCGAACCTGGGACCTTTCAGTCTGCAGACCGACGCTCTACCACTGAGCCAAACCAGTTTCGGCAATACTCTTAAATTTTAATGAATTCAAAGAAGTGAAGAGAAAATTAAAAATATCTTCAGAAAAATTAAAATTAAAATAGAACATATCCAAACTTATGGGATCCACCAAAAACTGGGCTATGAGGAAAATTTTTAGCTGTAAACACATACATTAAATACAAAGAACCCTGGCCTCTATAGTTCAGTTGGTTCAGTGGCATCCTATTCACCAATGGGTTACTGTTTCAATTCCAGGCAAGGCACATGTCTAGATTGCAGGCTTTAATTCATGGTGGGGAGCATGCAGAAGGCAACTGATGGAAGTTTCTCTCTCATTGATGATTCTCTCTCTTCCTCTCCTTTCTTCATTCTCTAAAGTCAAGTAGAAACCATATTAAAAAAAACAAACAAACAAGCAAACAAGAAATATCTCAAATGAAAAACATAACACTAAACTTAAAAGAATTAAAAATAAAAGAACAAAATGAACCCAATCAAATAAACAGATGCAAACTCCAGAGACAAGAAAATGGAGAAAGATCACCATTCAATCTGGTCTCAGACACAAACTAGGACCCTACAGCCACTAGGGACAAAAACCTGCAACCACAGCTACAGACTCACAAACACCAAGAATACAGGCATCCCGGCCTCAGAACCCATCTCCATCCCTGCAGGCCTCGGCATAGGCATAGAAACTTCTAGATCTGCTCTGCGCAAGCAGGCCTCCTGCCCACACAGGGCAGCTGTGCTACCCAAATTTCAGCCTGAGTGCACAGACACTGTGAGGCTATTTCCCAAAGCATGCACCCACACCCACACAGGGCAGCTGTGCCACCTGACTTTGATCTTGGGAAAGTGCACAAAAAAGTCTGTTTCCCACAGTGCAGGAGTGCATCTCCTGATGTGCAAACCAGTCCCCTAAGCAGATCTGGGACCCTTATTCTCTGTGTGAGAGGCAGCACTGAGCACCATTGACGACATTGTTTCTCACTGCGCATACATGGGATCTCTGATTCCCAGTGCACACAAACTAGATCCAATGACTCCAATTCTCAGCGCATGTGCACAAAGGGACCGTGATTCTCAGTGCAAGGCTGCATTAAGTAACAGGGACAATGATAATTGATTATTAGTGCACACACAGGGAGACATTGACTCCCAATGTGCCTTAGGGAACTCTGATTTTCAGCACATGCCAGCATTGTCTCTTTTCAACACAGCACAGCTGGGATCCCTGATTCTAGGTGGGCTCATGATGCTACACTGAGTGCCTGTGACTCTAATCCTGGGTAAGCATGGCTCCCACAGACCTACTGCAGTCACACGTCTTGGTGTTGGAGCTCTTCAGTGACAGTGAGGTGGAGCAAAGCTCACAATGCACATGGCTCAGGCTTTCTCAATTCAGCATTTGAATCTTCTTGTAACAGTTAGAATGGGGAAACAACAAAACAATCCCCAGAAGGGAAAAAAGAGGAATTGCCAAGAAAGGAAGTAAGTAAAAAGGAAGCATGGAACATGATAGGAAAAGAATTCAGAGTAATGGTCGTACAGTTCATAAACCACATGGATGAGAAAATCAACAACCTATGCAAAAATCAGGAAGAAATCAAAAGTGATATAGCTATAATCAAAAATGCCATGGAAGGTTTCAACAGTAGAATAGAAGAAGCAGAGGACCAAACTAGTGAGTTAGAAGATAAAGTAGAGAAACAAGCCCAATGTGAACTGCAACTGGAGAAAATAGTTAAAACTAGGAGGGGAGCCTAAGCAAGCTTTGGGACAACATGAAACAAAGTAACATGCATACAATAGGGCTGCCAGAAGAACAAGATACACAGCAAGGATTAAAACTTCCATGGTATGAAAAATAAAAAAAAGTTACACAAGTACAGAGTTGCAAGCAAGATGAATCCCAAAAGACCAACACCAAGACTTGTCATAATTACAATGACAAATGTTAATGACAAAGACAGAATCTTAAAGGCTGCAAGAGAGTTAACTACAAAGGATCCCCTATCAGTTTATCAAATGATTTCTCAACAGAAACACATCAATCTAGAAGGGAATGGAAGGAGATATACAAAGTGTTGCAAAACAAAAGATTGCATTCAAGAATACACTATCCAGCAAGACTATAAGTCAAAATTGAAGGGGAAATCAGGAACTTCTCAGACAAAAAGAAAAAGGCTAAGGGAGTTTATCACTACCAAGCCAGAAATACAAGAAATGCTAAAGGGAATACTATAAAAAGAAGAAATAGAAAGGGAGGAAGGAACACAGGCAAAAAGTATAGCATTGGCTACAAACAAGTATCTAATAATAATAACATTAACATAAATGAATTAAATCCTTCAAACAAAAGATATCGAGTGACTGACTGGATAAGAAAGCATGACCCATATACTGTATATGCTGCCTACAGGAGACCCACCTCAGAACAAGGAACTCACACAGACTGAAAGTGAAGGGATGGAAAAATATCTGCCAGGCAAATGGAAATGAAAGAAAAAAAAGCTGGGGTAGCAATATTTATATCTGACAAAATAGATCTTAAAGTGAAGACCATAACAAGAGACAAGAAAAGCCACTTCATAGTTCTAAAAGGATCAATACAACAAAAGGATATAAGTCTAGTAAACATTTATGCACCAAATGCAGGAGCACACAAATACATTAAAAAAAAAAAAACCTTCTGGAAAATATCAGGGGAGATATTGACAGTAACACAATCCTAGTAGAAGACATTAATAATCAATAACATAATTGGATTAATACTCTAGACCAAAAAAAAAATTAGCAAAGAAACATTAATAC